TGTGCAAAAATAAATAGAATTACAATGGAAACTACTTATATTGAAACACAATTATAAAAAAATTGACATGTTCATGAGCCCAGGTAAAGAACTCCTAGCCTAAAATGAAAGTAGAAAGAGATGAGGAATTTGAAAAATGTGCACAAAACTAGTGTGCAAGCATAATATTTGGAATTCTACTACCTAGGAATCCCCTGAATCTTTCTCCCTGGCAAAAGCAAAGCAATTGGCCTTCCCTCTAAATCTAATGTTCCAGGGCACCATAAATGGTCTGTGGGGTCTCTCTTTTCCTGGAGCCCACCACTGTCTGTTAAGTGCCTCAATGTTAAGTGCCAATGAGTATTGCCCCAATTCCATTTAACTATGTCACATGAATTAACTTTTACAAAAGGGTTAGTTACTTAAAAAATAAGTAAGAACAAAGTATAGGCATCCTCTCCCCTCCCCCAGTATCCAGTGGTATCAAATAGAAACCGATACTTGCAGGCAGCATATTCCTAGAAAACCGCAAATTAACATTATTTCTGCTTTATTGTTTTCCATTATTTTCTAGAGCATTTCTGAATTACACTTGAATCCAATTTGGATTATACTCTGGGATTTTACAGTTTGCTCTTCTTATCGCCTTGGTCCCTGAGTGGAGTAGGCTCAAAACAGCCCAGTTCCCACGTAGCATTGATCCCACAAAGTTAAGTCTAGATGCAGCATGACTGACAAGCCTTCATCTGAGATTCCCCCGAGGTATCTACACAGGGTGGACTGCAAAGTCTGGCTAGGATTCTCATTCCTGTGGCTTTGCTCTCCTGACCTTTAGAAAACCCACAAGGTAGGAGACTCTGCTCCTTTTACTTAGAACAGGAAAAGAACAAACACAAGGAACAAGGCCCAGAGTCACACAGCTAGTAAGTGTCTGAGGGCAAATTCAAACTCAGGTCTTCCTTACTCTAACCTTTGCACTCTATACACCGCACCACCTACCTGCTCTGGAGGAATAAAATGACTTTCCTTAATATGGCAAGTAATATCTATCTAAAATTAACAGCAAGCATTATATGTAATAGAGATAAACTAGAGGCCTAAAATCAGAGGTAAAGCAATCATGTCTATTATCACCAACATTATTAGTGCTAGAAATGTTGCAAAAATCAATAATTTTGTTTCTTCTTTAGCTTTATTTATTAACTCAATTTCTTAGAAATAGAGCAAGAAAAATACATGAAGAGGATAAATTTGGGTAAAGGGGAAGGAAAATTAGAGAGAGAGAGAAAGAGAGATGATAATCAAAGAGGCAAGCTCCAAGAGGATGAGTAAGGGATGGGTGAAGGGCATATAGAAGGGAGTTAGCAAGAATGGCCAGGAAAGAATAGGATAAGCGTTGAAGGGATATAAGCTGTAAAATTGAAGGAAAAAAGGAACTCACATCAGATGTCCTTTATTTTCTTGGTAGTATATAAGGAAGACTTCTGGTGAGCAGGAGTATGGTGGGAGAGGAGTAGGTAGATTGGGAGGGAAAAGAAGTTATAAAACAGAAACTGTGGAGATTGAGATAGAGAATCAATCAAGGAAGAATAAAAGATTCTCATGCAGCAGTGAGGACCCAGCTGAGATTAAATAACAGAAATCTGGTGAACTCAGGCAGCTTAGTTGGTTATATACTTTCCTCCAGCAGTTTTCATCAACCCTCAAGTAGGGGTTTGGGGTCTGGCAGTGCATGAGCAATGATGAGAAAGAAGACAAGAGAGTCAAGGGTACAAGACAGTGCAAAGTGAAATTGCTTGTTTGACTGGAGGTTGAGAGGCAGATTTAGTTTGAGGTCTGAAGAAAATTGCTAACAATTAGATGTCTTTTTCCTTTCTATCAACCACATTGGTCACATGCAATTCGGAAGGGTTATATAGTTCATTGCATCCGTTGTCTCGTTGATGTGGCTGTTACCTTCAACAATACAGGTCACAACCCATCTGTACCTTCTCATATTGTGCAGTGCTTGTATTTAACTCCCTGCAAGTCTTCCATGGAAGGATCTAACTTTCCAATGTGCTAGAGGTTGTCCTCTAGATATTTTAATAATGTATGGTAACCATTACTACCCTTCTGTTGCCCATTAGATATACCTTGATCTCCTTCAGTGACCAGTGAGCCTCCATATTTGATACCTGTCCAAGTTTTATTCTGAGAGTAGCCATAAGCGTGAGTGTACCCTACACTTTGCATCAAAGACTTATTCAAATGAAGTTCTTTACAAAAGCGAATTTCTTTACAGCAAATCCCATTTTACCAAAGCCTTGCATTATGTGTTCCCACATCAAAATGATTTAACGACAGACTAGAAAACTCATATTTGTGAATGCCTTATAGCTTGCAAAGCATTTTTTCATGACATTTTCTAGATGAGGAAATTGAATGAATGAGCATTTATTAAAAAGCTTATTAGGATAAGCACTGTGCTAAGTTCTAAGGATACAAATAGAAAATTGAGTTAGTCTTTGCCCTCAAGAAGCTCACTTTTAATTATGAGAGAGGATACATGTAGGAGGTTTCAGCTGCAGAGCAAATAGAAGTTTGTCATGATCACAAGGATGCAGCTGAGGGGCTAATGGCAAGGTCCAGGGGTTTTTAACCATGCTTTGCCAGGTCACGTAGTAATTGCCAGAGATTTAAAGAGTATAGTGACGGGGCAAATGGTCAGGTCCACTGGACACTGGGTTTGAGCGGTGGAGAAGATGGCAAAGCATAGAATTAAATTTGGTGAATTCCTATTCAACCAGATGTGCAAGTAATCACGTCTTCTTGGCAAGGAGGAGAGGAGTAGCTGAATGAGCCTGGCACATGACTCTTGGGAAGGGAGGAGTAGGCCTGAGGGTTGGTTTGGAATGAGGACTCTGGGTACGCCCTCTTAGAGGCTATGTAGATTGAGGGTCAGTGTCTAGTCAGGAGAGGGAGTAAGGGGTAGAAAAATGAAAGATGAGGGCGTTCTACAGTACCTGCTCCTGTTGGTTTCTCCTCCCCCATGATATCTGAGGTAATGAGCAGACACAATTCAGAGAGCCAAGCCAGATGTACCTGTTAGAATTCGTGGTACCCAGGAAGCATTTCTTGTCATTCCTGCCCATTGATTGATAACTTCACTTTTTTTTTACTACATGATCAGTAAGTACATTTTAGTGCTATATGTTTCTGACTTGGGGACCTCCCCCATTCTGCTCATTCTCTCTAGCCTCAGGATACCTTCACTCCTCTTCAGCTCTCAGAGCTTTGTTCCTCTCCTTTCCCTTTTCTCAAGGTATTTAAAGTGTCTAATACAGTGAAGCTGTTATTTCACAGGTAGCTATTTGATGGTGCTGTCTAATGCACAGTGTACTGCAAGTTAAAAAATCCAGAATTTGTCAAATGAATTAGTCATCTAACTCTGTAAAATCCAAATGTAGGATATCAAGTATACTGAGAACATGAGCTTTATTCAGTAAGTGCCTCGCCAGATTTCTTATCCTTATCCTTATTGCTATCATATAGGGAGAAATTACCCAACAAATGATAATACCTTAATTAGAGTGATTTTCAAATATTCTACCTTGTGATCTCTATATTTTCAGGATTTCCAGTGGATCAAGTATAGTGATTACTTATATTTAATCTGGTCTCTAGTCCTAATCCTCTTCTTAAATCCAGATCCATATCTCTTTATCTGACTGTAGAAATCTCCACCTGTATGTCCCACCAGTATCATAAACCAAACATGTCCACAAGCTGACTTGTTATCTTTCCTCCTAAATGTGTTCCTGCTTCTGACCTCACTATTTCTTTCTATATTTCCATCTACTTCCCAATGTTTGAAAATTTGGGGTTATCTTCTTCTATCCCATTCATTACCAAGGCCTGTTGATTCCACCTATGCAACATGCCTTACCTCTGTATCTCTCTCCCTGTTCCCACTCTGGCTCCCCTGTAAAAGCCTAGTTCAAGCTACTCCTATTGTTCTAATCACAGAGGGAGTTTTGCAGTGCCAGAGCATTGGATTTGACATCTGCAGGCCTGGGGTCAAATCTCATCTCTGCTACCCACCTCCAATGAGGTGAACAAGTCACTTTGTGACTCTGAACTTCAATATCCTCATCTCTAAAATGAGGAGGAGAAACTAGATGATTTCAAAGGTCCCTTCCAGATCTAACTTCCATTGAGACAACCTGTGAAAATGGTCACCTCTCCCTGAAACTTTACCTTTGTGAAAGTAAGTGTACATATGCTGATACCTTAGTAGGAAGGAGTCTTTAAGATATAATTGATGTTCAGCTGCAAAAAAGAAAAAACTATTAGAAAAGGTCACATTTCTCACAATAACAAATAGATCCCTTGCAATGAGAAAGTCAAACATAGTATATACCTTCAGTCACAGGAAACAGATGAAAACATTTTTGAAGCTGCTCAGGTGGAGAAATACCATGATGGAAATTAACTAAAGGTTGTTCTATTTGCAGTCCTAAATAAGATTTTTTTAAAGCTGTATATGGAAAGGAAAGAGCAACTTATTTGTGTTCTTTCTCCAAACTTTACTTCCATGACACTGGGTTTTTCCAGCTTTTAGGCTTGCCTAAGGCAAATTAGCTTTTTTTGTTTGCTTCTTTGGATTTTTTAAAGTAAAAGTAAGAAAACAAACACTAAATTTAAGTTATAGTCTATGCCAAGTTTCCCTGATTAACTGTTATTCTATTTTCAACTTTGAAATTTGTATATATTTATAATAATCTTCCAAATTAAGGAGAATTTATGAGCAAAAGTCACTGAAGATAAAACCCTTCCTCCTCATAATATTATTTTCCTCACTTTTCCCTAAAAAGTGGTCTTGAGGCTTAATGTCAACCAATATCACAGGTTTTTTAAGCTCAAGACGTCAAGGACAGCAAAAGAATAACTGATTGACTGCTGCATTTCTTCATTAATTGTTGACTCTGTCTTCTGTCTTTCTCTCTCCCACCTTCAACCCCAAACCTTTGGCATGTCAGAAGGAGCAGTGGGAGAAGGGAAGTCATCCGCAGAGCAAGTGGGTGGTGGAGATGCCTGCCCTGTGGAAAATGCTACATATGCTGATGGTATGATTCTGAACTCTTTAGAGTCTCATAAAATAGAAATCTGGCCTATTTTCCCAATGTATGCTTTAGGAATCAGGGAATTGCTATCTGTTCAATGAACCAACATGTTCTGCAATAACAAGTCACATTTCAGAAGTCATTTACTTCTACAGTACTCATCAAAATGCAGCTTTTTAAAGCAGCTGCTAGTAAAAAACGAGATCATCCATGCCTTTTAATACTGATTTTGTAGGAGCAATTTTCAGGGCCAAAAAGAATGAAAACTACCTGATTAACTTTGTGTAAATACCCTTCTTTCTATGTAGTATGGAACCTAGGGCAAAGGCCTCGTTGCCCTGTCCTAGTTATGGTGGTGGACCCTCACATGACAGGACTTCCTGCCATTCCATTGGGATGCTATTCTCTGCCCCTTCCTTCAGATTGGAGTTGTGATTAGTAGGGACTGGGCACTCTTGGTATATTTCATAAACAAACTCAACAATGGCGCATTCTTACATAGAGTTGAGACTGAGGTTCCCTAGCAGATTTATTTTTTTGGACCAAGCGCTGGGAGGGAAAGAGCAACCACTCTATACATGTGGCCCTCTAGGTCCTCAAGTGCAGCCCTTTGACTGAGTCTGTCAAGTTTGTATTGAATACAGACTTGACAGACTCAGTCAAAGGGCTGCACTTGAGTACCTAAAGGGTGAAGCCGCAGATTCCCCACCACTGAAACAGTGTAGTAGTCCTCCCTGTTTCAAACCTGCCCACACCTCTTTCCTGCATGACTGATTTCGAGTGCATCTGCTGCTACTTTCCCCTGATGGAGCATTCATTTTAGAGGGGATCATTTTTTTTTGAGATTACAGGTTGTTGGTTCCTAATATGGGCCTTGATGTTTGAAAAACATCAATCTAATTAAACTGGCTGACACTTGGAGACTTCCCGAGTGTCTAAGGCTTTCTAACAATGGTGCTGATTATGCATTCTCTTTCTATGCAAATGCTCCAGCAAAATCATACACAATAGAGTAAAAACACATGTTTTATGAAGACCATGTGCTATGGATTAGCTATTTATTTTATTTTCTATTCTAGTGTGCAACCACTGTAGCCACCCCACTGGCATTCACAGAGCGCCTGCTCTGAATTATGAACACCAAAAACAGGGAAAAGCCAAAAGACTCATTGACATTGCATTGCATTGACTCCCTAGAAGCTGCAGACTTCCTAGTACAACAGTGCCATATTTTTTTCTCATTTCCTCTTGGTTTTCATGTCATTCATTTGGGCTTTTGAATATCTCCATGGTTGGAAAGAAATGTACTCATACTGCTAACACCAGGAAGTCAGAATTGTCACTAAATTTTAAATACCATTTGGTGATTGGGGAACCCTGCATCATCACGTAGGACTGATCACCAGTCCTCATCCTAAAAGCATACCCTTGACCCTGCAAGGCCAAACTGATGCACTGGGAAATTCTACTGGAAAGGAGAGCCAATTTCACTCTTTTCAGAGACAATGAAAAAAAAAAAACTAGTACTCATTCCAAGAAAAGAAGGAGATTTCACATTAAAGCAAAATCTGTCACATTAATCATTTCATTTAGGTCCCACCTCAATTGGTTTGAAAGCATCTGCCATATTCTTTACAATCTGAATGCTGTTTCTGTAACCCACAACTACACTTTAATGACAGCTGTAACTGGAAGTAATGTGAAACTACCAACCAAACATAAAGCTTGTACAGACACCATTCAGACACATGCTTGTCCCCTGCCAAGGGCCCCTTTGTAAATACAGTCCCACACCCTCGAAAGAGATTCTATCAATAGGCCATTTCAGTGTCTCCCCTCAGCATGGAATGGCAGACCACAAGACACATTAAACATGACTCTGTATTCTCAGATGTAAGATTTATTTCATTATTTAACTTGTGAAAAGCACAAATCCAAATTTAAAAGGTCAGTATTGGGGGGCAGCTAGGTGGTGCAGTGGATAGAGCTCCGTCCTTGGACTCAGGAATTCCTGAGTTCAAATCTAGCCTCAGACACTTGATACTTACCAGCTTTGTGACCCTGGGCAAATCACTTAACCCGGATTGCCTCAGCAAAAAAACAAACAAAAAAAAAAGGTCAGTCTTATTTATATCACTGTATATTATAGGAAACCTGCTGGTCACCAACCCAAACCACTATTAGTGGTACTGATGGGACTTCAAAAAGATACACCATCCTCAACAGATATAAGAAATGGAGAATAAATAATTCTTAGGTTCAGCCCATTTGCTTGCATTTCAGGTGGGGTCTGGTACAAAAGTTTAATATATTATCTTTGTTTTGCTTTCAGTTGAAATGAGTAGTCAGGATGAAAGTGACCCAACAGAGAGTCAACAAGATGATGATCTCTAATAGGTAATATTCTGTTTCCTCTTTTTAATTTAGTAGGTCTTTTAGTAAATATCTGCAAGAATTACTATTAAATACACAGGTCTTTGCTCACCTCTGCTGTTAATTCATCCCCATGGTTTATTGCAATTCTTTTTATTCTCGCTACAGTAGTACTCATATGGCGGGCCAAGGATTTCATTAGCTTTCTATTCTTTCCAGTTACTGTGAGAATCATAGACTACACTTTATGTGTTGGGAATCATGTTATATTCAGTTCTTTGAGATAATTAAGTGCTTGACAAGGCAGTTTTAGAGCACCTCACTTTTTTCTAGCTTTGACACTAAGATCTTTTTTTCCCACTTGCTCATCTCCTACAGCATGTGTGAAGCTTGATAATGTCTCTCAAGGACTTTGCCTTTCTTAGAAGCAAGGGATTCTCAAGATACAGGCGATACTATTTAAAAGTAACAATGTTAGCCTGCATTTGTAAGATGCTTTATAGTGTACAGTGGTCTTGTCCCAAAACAACCAGTGCTATATGGTAGTTTGGGCAAGTATCATTGTTCCCATCTTTACAGATGGAGAAACTAAAGATTGAGGCAGGTAGAGTGACAACCCACATCATTATTATATCCACCAGCTGTATCAACTGTTTGCTGAGTGATTTTTTAAAAAAGAAATTTGAAGTCATATTTAGTCAATGATCAATAAATATTATTAAGCTCCTCCTAAGTGCCAAGCATTAAGCTAAGTACTGAGGTTATAAAAAAGAAAAAAGAAAGACAGCCCCTGTTGTCAAAGAGCTTATGGTCTTTTTTTCCTTGCATCTATTTACTTAGTATAGTGATGTGTAGAAGAACTACCTTCTATTTGGGAGTTGAGTGACATAAGATCTGGTGCTGGTTCTAAAACTAGCCTTAATTCTTAAGTAGTTTGGAGTTACCTAATGTGGATGAGTTAGAGTTAACTCATTTAGATATACTTCATTTAGATGAGTCACTTCCTGTCTCTGGGGCTGTTTCCTTATCTGTGAATCAAGGTCTCATATCAGATGATCTTGAAGGACTCTCCTGGCTCAAACCTCTAAGGAGAAACTGATATGGAATCAGGAGAAGAACTTGTGTGAGGTTTGCTTTTTGGAGGCTTTTTATGTCCTAGCCTGATGAATAATAACCTTAAAAACATAGGAAGATCATAATTTGCACAGAAATGGAAGAATAACTAGATTTGCAGTTGTAAATGGTCCAAATTCTAGACTAAAATGCTTAGCAATGGAAAAATCCATAGTGCACCTGAATTGTAAATCACCTTACTCCTTTTCCCAGGAAGGCAGTACAGAAATATGGTGACTGAATTCTCCTCCCCATGATGTATCCCACCAGCTACATAGGATTGGCAAATTCTGCTAGGAAAATATTCAAGAAGACACAGACTTAAGGGAATTTTATTATATTCAAGGCTAAATATTAAAACACTCTTGAAATTATAGAATAAGAGTGGGGTTTTTTGTTTGTTTTTCAAAGGAAAGAACCCTCCTCCATTCTGCAAAGGTTCAATACATGATTTCCCCTTTCTACTGACTGGTATTTTAACAGTGCCCTTCCATGTAACAGAAGAAAAAGGAAAAAGACAGAAATAGACATGGAGAGAAAATGCTGTTTAAAAGTAGTGAAAAGAACTAAATCTGAAGTACTAAAATGCTTGTTTCTCCACATTTCTTGCTTTTGTTTTGGCCCTTAATCACTCTAAGCTGTGGCTATTTTGTCAAAAGTATGGAAAAATTCTTTTCTATACATAACATCTTTCCCCCCCCACCTTCCCCACCAGAGATGCAGCTATGCATACCTTCTATTTTGAATATGTACCAACACATTCCCTGACACATAAAGTATACAAGGAGACATATGCTCCCACTTCACCACCACCATGGGTCTCAGTCTTGGTCTGGATCTAGGAGATCAAGCCACATACATAACTACAGCCCAGGAAGTCTACAGAGGCCTGTATAATTCACTTTAGCTTAAGGAAGTCAAGAACTCTGCAGTTACATATTCAGGTAGAGAGAGGAAGAAGCTGGTATAAGACTCAAGGTATCAGTTTGAGGGAATATCTTGCTTATAAGAATATACCAGTTATATCTCTGAGTCAGGAAGAAAAAAATATATATATATATATATATATATATATATATATATATGTTTGTGTGTGTGTATATATCTATATCTATATCTATATCTATATCTATATCTATATCTATATCTATATCTATATCTATATCTATATCTATATCTATATCTATCTATTTATCTATATCTATATCTATATCTATATCTATCTATTTATCTATATCTATATCTGTCTATCTATCTATCTATCTATCTATCTATCTATCTATCTATCTATCTATCTCTATATGGTCCCTGTATGACTCTGTGAATTCAATAATAGTAGCTGGCTGCCATAACTAATGGACTCCACTGCCCTCCTCTCCTGATTGCCTAACTGGCCTGCATTACAAAAATGGCAATTTTTTTTATTATTATTTCAGGTAGTTCCTTTTGTAGGGCAAATCTCAGATTGTCCTTAATCACAAGAAGTGCATTTCAAGGTAGACTAAATTTTAGAGTAGAAAGGAGCCAGTGTAGTAGTGCTTGGGACATAGCAGGCATGGAATTAGTTCCAATGTATTTCAAGTGGGGTGATGGAGGCCCAGATTTTTCTGAGGCCTGAGGAGAAGCCAATTTCCTGCATTTTGTAGGTGTAAGCTTTTGAAGGTTGGAAGGAACCTCAGAGATCACACACAAACAGAGATAGATTGTCCCTAATTTTGACACAAAGACATTATGGACAGATACTTTGGAAATCATCTCTCCCATCAGCTGCCTTCTCTCCCTGCCAACACGATTAGTACTTCAGAACCACATGATGCCTTTGCCCATCACTCACAGCCCACTCTAAATGAATGGTTCATAACCTATTTCCCAGCGTAAGACCTTGAACATGACATATATAATGCATGAATTGCTATTTATTTCCCTCTGGAGAATGATTTGCAATGTTACAGATCACCTGCTGGTCACTTCTGTAGACCAGTGTAGTCTCCTCCAACTGTAAAAATGCTATCATTATCCAAAGGTGGTTCCTGGAATATTGAGTGTGTGCATGAAACCTGAGGTGTCGAGCGTTAGCTCATGCATCCATATGTACAGCTAGGCATCCAGAGGAACACTTAAATGATGAGTTCAGTTAATTACCACATTAAACAAAGCTAACCTTCAGCATAGCATTTATTCATTGGAAGTGTATTTATATGCTGCTTAGAGATACCTCATGTCAACAATGGTCTCTTAAATATCCAAAGTTACATGCCTGTGCCAGTCAGATAAGATGCTCTCTGTAGATGTTTAGGAAGTAGTGACATTCAGAGAACTGTACTAAAAGATGTCTTCACTGGGATCCTTCTCTTCATTTTAACAGGTTATTTAATCTCCCTTTCTCTTCCGTAGATGAACAAGATGAGGCAAAAGAACGAAATGACATGGCGGCCCTTGGCAATGTATGGCATCTGATGGCATCGGTGAAGTGGAGGCTGAGATGACACCAAGTGGTGTCAATAAGAGCTAGGGGTGGGTGGGGGGAGGGACTTTGGGCCCAAAGAGAAGGGGATTCTTTGCTTTGATTCTTTCACTTGCATTTTATTCTGTTTACCTATTTAGAGAAAGATTTTTGACATGGGAGCCGGTGCCCCATGTTCAAATCATCTTTTTTTAAGGCACTGACCGTGTATTAATGCCTTTCCTTTAAAAACTTTGCCCCAGAGTCATAATAGGACAGGTTAAACACATATACATACATGTGTGTATGAATTCGGTTCTCCAGATTTGCTTTCTCAATGACTTTGTAGAGTAGGTTGGCCCAATGGTCCCTTTGTAGAAACAGATGAGAATAAGGTTGCTTTCTGTATCACAACCTAAAATTTCAGAGAGCATAATGCTAGACAGCAGCATAATCCACAGACAGTATCAGGTAGAAAACAAGTTAGGAAGTAGTCAAAACCTACTTACTGATCCTTTGGAGAAGGTCTGGACATGAAAATAGAAAATGAGGTTTTATCTGGTACCTCGAAGCACTGAAAATTAGTTCCATGGCATTCATTAAGAAATGATGGAAGAGCTTTTTAGGTTAGCACGGAGTAAGATGAGCTTAGCCAGTAAAATCATTAGAGTCTCTTTTGCAGCTTGCATCGCCATTGTCCTTAGATAGAACTGAGATTTTCGTCCTGTCAGCAGCATAAACTTACAACAGGGCTTTTTTTATTCCATCATGTCCTTACCATATGCTTCCTCTTATAGCCTGTGGACTAGGGCAAGACCTGGTACCACCAACTGTAGAATTTTTTTCCCCTATTCAACTAAAACAGAGCTTCTCTTTTAAAGTGAGCACTTGTCTAGATGTTGTGAGCAGTTTAAATCCTGGATTAAATAAGGATATATGCCAATTAAAACTCATCCTATGTTAACTATTGGTTTGTGGATATTAACCAACTGCACTTGAAATCCCTCCTATCATGTTTCCCAATATAGATGGATGTGTAATTATGCATAGATATTTGAGTAAGACACTTTTGCCAGATCGTTGGGTACAGGGGTCTGTGGGTCAAATGTCACTGGGTAGTAAAAAAGAAAAAGGGAGGAGGAGCAAGGATGTCCTTTTCAGCCTATGCAGTAAATTAAATTTGTATGCCTTTCCCAAAAGGAGGATATGCTTTTCACAAAGAACACATACACGTTTCCAAGATTTGAAGGTCTGACGAACACATTCCCTCCGTTAGAAGCAATTAGAGCTCCTGTTTGCAGTCTCTGCTTCCTGGTTTGTTTTGACGTTACATTGCTTGACCAGGCCAGGTCTGAAAATAATTTGTTGCTGGGTTCCTCCCAGCCAACCACTGAGCATAGCACTAAAAAAAGGAGTGGTAGCCCTAATAGTCCATGAGACTAGTTCTCTCTGCAGAATGAGGACTGGTATTTGCTTAAGAGACAGCGGGACCAAAAGATGAGAAAGTATGAGGAGCTCAGGTATATGTGGGCCAGTATCTTTTTGACTATAATCCCTCAGAAGGCAATATTAACACCATTAGCTGACCTTCCCAGCAACATGCTATACCTACCCTGAGAGCTAATCTTGTTTCCCTCATGTCCCTTTAAGCTACTTGTGACCAGGCCTTTTTATAAGTGCTTTGGAATTTATATTTCATTTATCTTTTGCCTTAAACAAGCAGATTGTGGCAGGTGGATGTCCAAATGTAGTTAGGTTAAGTACTTTATTAATTAGCATTTATTGGATGTTTGCTCTAAATTCCACTGAAGGTGGAATTAGCTGCCTTCATTCCTCTGTATGAAGTCTCCCTTCTCTTTTTACACAGTAGTATATGTGTGCTTGTGTTTCTGTGTATGTGTATACACACACAGACACACATATATACGTATATATTCTTCCTGGATATTTTTTTTTTCTTTCAACTCTTCCTGAATTTGTTTTCCTCTCTTGGTTGCTACGTTTTAAAAATTAACAGTCTATATTTCTGCATAACACCCATATAGCAATTTCACTATCACATAATTCACCCTCAGCTGAAGAAGCCCCATCATCACAACAACTATTCCCTTGAGACTGACATCATGGAAACTTGGCCATTCCCTCTCATGGTGTCAATGAAAGATCTGGGAATGGATGATATACTTTTTCCAGCCCCATTAAGCACCACTTCCTTAGAAGCAAGAAGAAAGTGATTTTAAAATAGTCCTAGAAATGATACCACATGAATTCTGATATTTTCTCTATTTTATGCCATCTTTATAACTTAATTCAAAAAGTCACTGTCATCTTGTGAAATGCTTGACAAGTGCAATCTGCTGCAAGCAGATTATCCCGTGGCTACCAAATGTTGGTGATATTCTTTTGCAGTAATGAGCTACAACAGAAAACAACATGAGAGAGACGGTACAGAGAACCACGCTTGAAAGTGGTTAAAGATAAAAGATTCCTAATCTCCTTCTTAGGAACCACTAACATGGAAAATAATGGCCTTCACTAAGACTCCAGGTCCAAGACCTAACCTATCCTTATTACCCCAGAGAGTCATTTCCTCTATTCTTACTTTTAACTTTGATTCCCTTGCACAGTGGGGTAGTTCTTTAAAATCTGTGGTTTTCTCCTTAAGGAAACTATAGGAATGCAAGCAGTGAATCAAGAAAACTAATAGAGTAAGGAAGTATGCCAATACGTTCAATCTGATGAGCCCTAATATAAAATTTGTTTGGATTTGTTATCTGGTTTGGTTTAGGGATTTTCAAGAGTTGCTATTTAGCTGTATGATTTTATTGTTTAAAAAAAAGGTAATGAAGACACTATACTCTCATTCAGATAGTAAAAATTAAAAAAAATTAAGTAATTGCTGAGATATAACTTAACATGGACACAATGAATTGTCATTTCACTAGAGATGCTAAAATTAATAGAGTAGGCTTTGTAAAAGAATAAATACCGAGTTGATTAGTTCTTCTGCATATGAATTCTGTATGTCAGTTTCTACCCAGACTTCAATAGCATGGGGGGCAGGGGAGGGGAAGGGAGGGGAAAGAGAATAAAACCCTACCTACATTAGTGGTGTTTGCATACAGAGTATCAAAATATGCTTTTAACATAGTAGTTACAATTAAAAAAAGGTTCTCAATCTGGGAGAGACAATGCATTATTCCTCTAGCTGGTGGCTGCTCAGATGATGGACAAGTCTTCTTTCAGAGTAGCTCACAAAGGAGACATCTGAAACACTGTCTGTGATATTGGGTCACATATTATTCACTGCAGCTAATTGTAAATCTTTCTATGAAACACTGAAAAGCCTCTTTGTGAATTAATACTGTTCTGCTTGATGCACTTGATTAAAAAAGACATTTCTCTCTATGTGGTGCATGTCGGCTTTGCTTTGAAAAATTACGAAGTTAGCAGAATATGTTTAATATATTTTCTTGGGGAATAGGGTTTTTATCATATGATTCATTAAGGATTTGCCTTACCCTGACATTTGTGATATAAAGGAAAATCTGAAAAAAATGTAATTTTCTTGATCAAAATATGTTTTTACTTAATGCAAATAAATGTAGTCTGTTGCTTGCAAAACGTCTTCTGATACCTGGTATAAACTGCTAAATAGAATTAGACGTGCCTCCTTTGTTAATCTAGCATTTAAGTGCTGAACTGCTTCTAAATCTATTACTTTCCTTCTGTCCGTGCCATACATTGAAAACCTTAAACAACCGATGCCTTCATACTACATTTGTTAATGCAGAATACTAATAAAACTAATTCAAGAGGATGACTGAAAGGCTCGTGTCTTTGTAAGATTGACTAATTATCAGTGAGCAAATTAGCAACCCAAAGATCTCCTTTCTGACTCTACACTGTACACTTGGTTGCCAGCACACACTTCAGATTTTTCATGTAATTAAACTTTTACCCACTGATCTTAGTCAGTTGTCAGTTCGGGATCAATCTGGGGATTTTCCTCCTAAGATACTAGTCTATGTGGAAATGAAGCTGCAGAAGGGAAACCAGGGGCAAGTAGGTACCTGTACCTTGGAGCCAGGGACAGTCCTAGGTGCCAATTATGCAAATAGAGGATTATTAGATCATTAAATGATTATGGAAATGAGTAACAATGAACTTCTCTGGAAAATATTATTTTGGAAGACGTGGCTCATTGACTGTCACTCTTAACTATAAAGTGAATGAGAGTCCAATAGACCTACTAGGACTCTGGCTACTTTTGCCAACCAAAACTAGGGAGTTGATGATTTTTAAAAAGCCAGAACTTCTTTTTTTTTTTTAATATTCTTCCCACTAAAGATCCATTTTCCCTATAGCAAATGAGGTATGAAAGAAATATCTGGGCAGTAGGCCTGAGAAGTTGACCTGAGATGGTGATACTGCTTATAGACTGATACTAGAAAGGACAGTTACTAAAGTCATCCCATGGCTTAGCAGTTTTTGTCTCTTTCTTATCCTTTATCTTTCTTTCTCATCTCTTCTATGCCTGAGGCCTGCCACTGATTTCCAGAGGCATTAATTAACCTAATTGGTAATCTATGGGATAAAGACCACTAATGCTTTCAGGGTGTTGGTTTTTGAGAAGGGAAAGGGAGGGACAGAAGGTACAGGATGGAGAACAAGCTAAGAAACCTGACAGATGTCTGGTCCAGCTCCTGATCCTGACTAATAGGGAGATCTGGGGCAACTTATGTTACTTCCTGGCACTTCAATTTTCCTGCCTCTAAAATGGTATGGCAATATCTACCTTCACAGTGTCATAGGATTCTCATGAGAATAAAATAAAGTAATAGATCTGAACATACTTTGGAAAAAGTACTAAACACAAGATATCTGTTTAATGCTGCCAGCTACAAGTCCTTTACTAACTTTTGTACTAACTAGTAGACTATCCTGTTACTGAGTTTGATTTCAAACTCTACTTAAAAATAAGAGGCCACATTAAGAAAATGTGCTTTTACCAGAATTTAAAGTAATCTGACATTTTTATATGAATATAGGAAGGCATTGCGGGGGAGTTGGGATTTTTTTCAGCATAGATACCTTCTGATATGAAACTTATTCCACCACAGTAGATGACAACCCACTAAGATTTAGCAGATAAAACCTAGAGAGGTGTCTGAAGCCTGTGGAGATGAAGTAACTGTTACTTCACATTATAATACTTCACGTTCTATCAGATCTGGGATCTGAACCCAGGTCTTTCAAGTTCACTTTCCAGTCATTACTGGAGGCTGCCTCTTTTGACTGCCCCCACCACACCTATAAACACACACACATACACACATACACACACACACACACACACACACACACACACACACACACACACACACAGAGCAAACTCAAAACAATTTGTTGTATATCATCTTTTTTTTTCTTTGCTAAAAACTAGAAAAGCAAGAAGTGTATCCCTATTAGGATCTTGGTGAAAGAAACCACTGATTTGGGATTGAGGAGACCTGAATTCCAATCTCTGATCTGTGTGATCTTTTAGATAAGACCCATTTTGAGCCTCAGATTTTTCAGCTATAAAATGAGGGAATTGGGCCCTTTTCAGTTCTAACATTTTATGCTTCTGGGGCCTCCATGATGACATAACAACGTATGGCTTAAAGCTCACAGTATCCACTTCCCTTTACATAACAAAGTCTTTCTGATAATACTCATCAAAAGGCAAAAATACCCTAAAAAAGTGACTGGTGGTACAATAGAACACCGGGCTTGGAGTCAGGAAGACCTGAGTTAGAATATGGCCTCAGAGACTTGCTATCTGGGTAACCCTGCACAAGTGACTTCACCTCTGTCTACCTCAGTTTACTCAACTGTAAAATGAGGATTCTAATAGTACCTATCTTATAGGGTTGTTGTGAACAGATGAGATAATATTTGTAAAGTACTTAGCACAGTACCTGACACATAGTAACGAAGAGATAGACAGAGAGAGAAAGAAAAGGAAAAAAAAGGAAAAAAGAAAGAAAGCTCAATAAATGCTTATTTCCTTCTCCCTAGAAAGTGTTTGTTGTACCGAGAAATCAGCGAGCAAGACCCAGATGTAATTTAAAATGTGGATTTATTAGCATGAGGCTGCCAGGGGTATGCACATCCAAATCAAGCAACCCGTTCAGGGGTCGAGCTAGGGTTTATATGGAAAAGAGCATGGGAAAGAAGTGCTAGGAACACTGATGAGGTAATTCAAAGGTGCAGGTGTCTGGGGCTATGGATGGGAAAGTACAGGGAGTATACCGGACAGGGAGGGGGATAGATCTTTGGAGTCTGGCAGGAGGAAGAGTCCTGGCCAAGGACACCCCTCTCCCTCTGTCTTGATGAAAGAATGCTCTGCAACAAGGGAAAGCTTTCTCACAACACAGGAACTTACTGAGGAATTGGGAGGCTTCCAGAGACGTGATCTGAGGTCTGGGGCCTGAGCAGCCCAGCTCTGTGTAGCTGTACCAGGAAGAGAGATAAGGGTCATGCTGAGGCCCATGCATGAATAACTGCTAGGCACAGTGTCCTTGGGCTGGGGAATGGTTGTTAGAGACAGTGTTTCTGAGACTAGGGAGAAATTGGGGCACAAGTACAAGCACAAGCACCCAAGCACCCCATTATTACGGGTCAGGGATCACACAAACCAGACCAGATGTCCTGGTCTCTGGTGTAAAAATAATTATCTAAAGCAATTATATTGCAAGCTTTCTTATTCATTTGCATTGGAGATAGGGTCTATGCTGAACTATGCAAGAGTATATTTCACTATTGTTTAGATTTAGGAGGAAAGAGGTCTGGGGCAAGATTAAGCACCAACTTTTGCTTTCCATGGCTTAAAGGGCCCTACTACCTAAATGGCAAAATAATGTTCTGCATTACAGGTTCAAGATAAGCTTATAGGTCAGGAGTTCTTAACTGTTTTTTGTTTGTTTGTTTGTTTGTTTTTTATGTCATGGATCCCTTTGACAATCAGCAGATTGTCAAATGGACCTCTTCTCAGAATAATGTTTTGAAATGCCTAAAATAAAAGACATCAGATGACAAAGGAAAACAATTATACAGAAATGGAAAAATTCATTTTTTTTAAAGTTCATGAACCCTAGATTAAGAACATCTAATGTAAAATAACTCCAAGGATGAAAAAGGTGGAAAGCAGGGGTAGGGGGAGAATGGTGGAGGGTTAGGAGAGGATAAAAGAAGTGATTACAGGGTAAGGAAAGTCAGGGCATGATCTATTAGGAAATTCTAACTAGTGCTTTAGATGAAGGTGAGAGATGCAAAATGGCATAATGAAAAAAAAGAACAGCAAACTGGGATTCAGGAAATCTGGGGTCCTCTTAATTGATAGGGTCATCTTACACAAATTGCTTCAAATCTCTGATCCTCTGTTTACTCATCTGTAAAATGAGGCCTTTGGACCAGATGACTTCTAAGTTCCTTTCCAGTGCTTACATTCTATGATTCTATGAAAAGCAATGTATTTGAGGTAGGACAGGTAGAATTTTGGTTTTCCCTTAAATTTAAAGGATAATTTCTCTACAAAAGCAATAATTACTGTCCTTTACATTAGTTGTCCCATTTGATCCTATAAGAAGGATCCTAAAAGTATTGTTATCCATAATTTACAGATGAGGAAACAGAAACTCAAAAAGGCTAAGTGACTTGCCAGAGGCAGCCTTTAAATCCAGGAATCCCCTGGATTAAAGCAATCTATGCCCTGCGCCAGCCTTCCTCAAATCAAAGTGCAAAAAGCCCAGCAACCCTCATACACACACCCTCACTTTTCAATGTAGAAAAACTTTAAATGACTTACAAAATAAATGAAAAATCTTTTATTATTCTAGCCAGGGAATGAAGGAGACTGTGCTCTAGTTGGTCAGTCATGAAACACATATTAAGCTCCTACTGTGTACTGTGCTCAGTGCCAGGGATACAAAGGAAGGTAAAAGGCATTCTCCGCTCTCATGTCCCCGAGCTCAAGGAGCTCACGGCCTAATGAGGAAGACAATATGCAAAGAACTATGTGCAACAAATGACATATAAGATAAATTGGGGCTAATCAACAGAAGGAAGGCATCAAAATTGAAGGGGATTAGAAAAGGCTTCCTGTAAAAAGTAGAATTTTAGCTGGGACTTGAAGGAAATAAGGAAAGCTGGGAGGATAGGGAGAGAAGCATTTCAGGCATGGGAGACAGCTAGTGAAAATGCCTAGAATGTCTTGTTCTGGGAACAACCAGGAGGATGGTGTCACTGGATCATTTTGTTCTGTGGGAGTTGGGGGAGAGAAGGTAGGAAGCAGTATAAGATGTAAGAAGACCAGAAAGTTAGAGGAGACCCAGGTTATGAAGGGCTCTGAATACCAAACAGAATATTTTTGTATTTAATCCTGGAGGGGATAGGGAACCACTGGGAGTTTACTGAATAGGGTAAGGGTGACGTGGTCTTTCTATGTTCTACTGCTATATCAGGTAAGACCAAGTAAACAAAAGATGTCCTTTGCTGGGTTTATAATCTAAGACCATTGTTAGCCAGACCTTATAAATTGGGGGGGGGAGTGTCAAATAAAATTATGAGAAGCTTGGAAAGGAGTAAATGCAAGCCACTCTGACTGGTGGTCTTGTGCCCCCACCCTTTGCACACATTTAGTTCAGGCTCAGAGGATAGGGCCCATATGGATAAATTTAGCCCTCTGAATTATTCTAGAGAAGAATGCAATTCTGTGCTCATCACCGGGTTCACAGCACAGCTGGGCTGTGGACCAAATCGCACTCGGTTTCTGCACGT